CTATGAACAAACACATTTATAATAAAAGCAATTGTCTATATAAGAAAGGTAATGATTATTTATATTTATTAATTCTATAGTCAAATATTAATTATTTTCATCGAGCTTATTCACGAGTTCAAAATCGAATACGAATCGAGCTTTTATCAAGCTTCTTATCGAGCTTATTGTCGAGCTTGTTCACGAACTTCAAATGATGTTGTTAGCGAACATAAATGAGCTGAATGCATTAGTGTTCAAGTTTGTTTATTTAAGATTTGAGTATTTAAAATATTGTTCAAGTTTGTTTGTTTAGTTAATTAAATGATCTCAAATGAGCTTTAATTGAACTGAACAACAAGTAGCTCGTCGAACGTTTGGTTCGCTTGCAGCCCTAGGCTTAACTACGAAAAAAGACTCCTTAAAAAAGGAGAAAATTACAAGAAAAATTAACTAGAAAAAAAAAAAAAAAAATCTAAAAAAACAATAAAAAACTAAAAATTTCAATCATACATGCAAAAAGCCTGGATGCCGAAATTTTCAGCCAAGCAACAAAACCAAACGGACTCCCTCAAAATCTTTACGTATTTATTGTGTATTTAGTAAGTATTATTTATTTGCTGCTAAAATACATAGAAAAAAATTATGTATAAAAAATACAAAATAAAATAAACAGTAAATACGTAGCATCCGAACCTTATTCTGCGTTCGGATTACGTACACAATAATTTCTCCTTCGGCTTTAGAACAAAGGGTATAAGTTAAAGAAACATTAAAATTCCTTTTAGCTAATAAATTAACACTTTTCATCCCTTCTAAAATAACTATCCAAGCAAAGCAAGAAAATCTCATCACATACCTTTTATGCTAAATATAAGAGTACCATTCCACTATGATAAATTTATTATGGAAAGTAATATGAAAAATCTTAAAAGGATACTTCACACCAACCCAATAAATATTAGAGATTTCCTGATTCTTAATAGAAATTGCAGCAGCAGCCGTAGCAATACTATCAGGAATCATCCAGCTATCATTTATAATACACTCACCCACACTACTCATGTTGATCAGATTGTCAGGAATATTATTCATCAACTCATGAAGAACTCTTCCTCCTAACCAATGATCCCAATACATTGATAAAGGATAATTAGTGAAAATATTAAAAGAAATCATACCTTTAATATATATCTCTAGCAATGTTACAAATATCCTTCCAAAACTTAGAATCCTTTTGAGAATAAGGTTTTCAATAAGAGATGCATTTATACTTAACCCAAGAAGCTAAAAGGCCAATACAACTAATGATACGCCAAATAAGAGAGCAGCCGAAAGTAAAATAAAGGGCATCATGAATACGGGCTTTTTTAGGCTTACTTATCTCTTTTCAAGTTATCATATGAATTTTCCTAACAAAAGATTTTTCATAAAAGAGAAAATTTGATCAAGCTTTCTTAAAAAATTTAAAATAAGTTTTAGACAAAGGAAGCGCTCTAATCCAGTAAGAAATAACGTTAGAATTAGTAAAATTTAAAGATTGGACCCTTCCATTAAGTGATAACATTTTAGCTTTCCATCCAACCAGAAGAGAGGTAATTTTATCAAGTAAAGAGTGAAAATTCACAAGAGTAAACCTTTTCCAATAAATAGATAGCCCTAAACATTTCACAATATTTTGAAAAATAAAATACCCAAAATCTGACTAATTTCCTCGGACATAGAAAAAACCTTCAGAGAATATAAATTCAGGGCGCGACAAAAAAAAAAAAAAAATGACACCCAAAAAAACACAAACAGGGAAAAAAAAAAAAAAAAAAAATGACACCCAAATAAACACAAACAGTGATCTCTAACCATTAGAACTCCTAAAAAGGTCACCTCTTTCCGTGCCGAATCCTATCCTCCTACGCTTTCTATTCCGCTTCAGCCGCTCTTCCTCAACCAGTTTCCGCACCTCTAGCTCTCGCCAGCTGAGCCGCCGACGACCCTCTATTTATATCTTTCATGCTGTCGCCATGAACCTTTGGACCGACGACAACGCGTCCATGATGGATGCCTTCATGGCTTCAACTGAAGTCCAGATCTTTCCCTGGACGCCGGCGCCGGCACCGGCACCTGAGGCCCATGTCCCCGCTTTTTCCTCCGCCTCCGCCGGCGTACCAGAGTACTTCACCCAGGAATCCCTACAACAACGCCTCCACATGCTAATCGAAGGAGCGAGGGACAGCTGGACATACGCAATCTTCTGGCAGTCCTCCGTCGACGTTGGCTTCGGCGCTTCCATTCTCGGCTGGGGGGATGGCTACTACAAGGGCTGCGAGGAGGACAAGCGGAGGCGGAGGAACGCCACGTCGAGTTCTGTGGCCGAGCAGGAGCACAGGAAGCGCGTGCTCCGGGAACTCAACTCATTAATCTCCGGCTCCGGGTCCTCGCCGGATAGTGCCATGGAGGAGGAAGTCACTGACACCGAGTGGTTTTTTCTCGTATCGATGACGCAGTCGTTCGTAAACGGCTCTGGGCTCCCAGGGCAGTCGTTTCTCACCGGCGCTCCTTCGTGGATTGTCGGCAAAGATCGGCTCTCCATTGCGCCCTGCGATCGCGCGAAGCAGGCGCAAGTGTTTGGGCTGCAGAGTATGGTCTGCGTCCCCGTGGAAAGCGGTGTCCTCGAGCTCGGATCCACGGAGCTCATCTTCCATAGCGCGGATATGATGAACCAGGTCAAGGCTCTGTTCAATTTCAACAGCTTTGAGGCTCCGGAGGCAGGATCGTGGCCCCCATCGCAGCCAGTCACGCCGGCGATGACTGACCAAGGGGATACCGATCCCTCAGCGATGTGGATCTCGGATCCCTTTATCGAGATCAAGGATTCTGTTTCCCCTGCCGTCGCCGAAATCTCGGTTACCGAACCACAATTTCAATTGGAAAACCCTAGCACCAGTAGCCTCACTGAAAACCATGCCTCGATTCCACCCCAACAACCACAGCAAAACCCCCATCAAGTGCAGCAACCGCCCTCATTTTACACCAGAGAGCTCAATATCTCTGATTTCGGAATAACCAGCGCCGATCCTCGCCAATCCTTCAAACTAGAACCCGGCGACGCTCTCAATTTCGGGGAAAGTCTGAGGAATTCCTCCCCCGCTCCTGCTACCCCTGGATTCCTCTCTAATGAGAAAAGGAAGACGAAATCCTCAAACAACGAAGAAGGCATGCTCTCCTTCATCTCCCCTAGCCATGCGAAACCCTTAGCCACCACCCAAGACTCCGACAACTCAGATCTAGAAGCCTCTATTCGCGAGGTAGAGAGCACTAGGGCCGCGGAGCCCGAGAAGCGGCCGAAGAAGCGCGGGCGCAAGCCTGCCAACGGACGGGATGAGCCTCTCAACCACGTGGAAGCCGAGCGGATGCGACGCGAGAAGCTCAACCAGCGGTTCTACGCCCTCCGCGCCGTGGTTCCCAACGTCTCAAAGATGGACAAGGCATCGCTCCTTGGCGACGCCATCTCCTACATCAAGGAAATGCGCTCAAAGCTTCAAACCCTCGAGAACGAGAAAGAAGAACTGGTTTCGAATGTAGAGACGCTCAAAAAAGAGCGCGATGCGGCGCCCGTCCGGATTCAAGATAAGGAGCCAAGTATTGCGAGCCGCAATAGCCGGTGCGTTGGGTTAGAAATTGAGGTGAAGATACTCGGCGCCGAGGCGTTGATTCGGTTGCAGTGCGACAAAAGAAACCACCCGGCGGCGAGGTTGATGGCCGCGCTCAAGGAATTGGACCTGGAGCTGTACTACGCCAGCATCTCGGTCGTCAAGGATCTCATGATCCAGCAAGCAACGGTGAAGATGCCGGGACGCGGTTATACACAGGAGCAGCTTACCGCCGTGCTCTACTCCCGCTTGGCCGATCCAACACCAGAGGTTACCGTTACTCCCTGTAATCAAATCTCCCATTTTAACAAGCCCAAGCCTATGTGATAATTGCATTTTCCGATCCATCTCGATCTCCATGCCTGCAGACTTCTGAAACCTTAAGAAATGAACTGGAGTTTCCAGATGTCATGACTATTAGTGTATATTTGCATGATTGTATGTATGAAAAAAGAATGTGATGTTTAGTTTTGTCTCTCCGATGGGATTGAGTTCTTCCTGTGTCTGTGAGATCTAATCATGCTTGCAATGGAGGCCATTTCTTTTGCCCTATTAGAGATTGCAGGTGTAAGAGGGTCTCTGGCGAAACTCCAAACGACTGTTAAGGCGTAGTTGATTTGCTCCATTCGAATGACAAAAAAATAGCTAATTGGTGGAGGGTAAACAACGTTGCACTGTTCAACTACGCGATTTTTCTGTCTCAACCGGATTTGCCGAAGAAACACGCGAAAGAGTAGAAAGACGGTTACCTTCGCATAAGCCAGCAAAATAGAGTTCGATTGGAGATTAATTATGGCATTTTTGAGTTTCGTTGCATTTTGGAGTGAAAATTGGAATTTTTGGTTGGAGATGCCTTAAGGAGAGGAAACATGTTATTAGAATTATGGGATTGGTTTTATTTGGATTAAAGGTGATTGAAGGGAAGATAAGATTAGATTAGAGAGAGTCATCTTAGATGGTTTGGTCATATTAAATTGAGGCCTTCCAATAATACTTTGTTCAGAAAGTTGAGGTTTTAGATTTGACTTATGTTAAAAAAGATAGAGGTAGACCTGAAAAGACTTGTATAGAAAATATTAGAATTGATCTTTCTTTATTAGATTTAAATGAGAATTTGACTTTTAACAGGACATAATGACGAAAAAATATTCATATAGCTGACCCCACGTAGTGGGACAAAGGCTTGATGTTGTTGTTGTTGTTGAAGGTGATTGAAGGGAATTTACAATTTTTTATTTTCTGATTATTAATTTGTAGTTTATATTTTTTTATTATTTTTATTTTTACTGCACTAAAATTAGTAGAGTCCAAATACAGTAATTAAGCAAATTACCATTAAGCTTATGCTTGTCAGTTCGCTTAATCTCTGATTTGTAAGTGAAGAGACTGTGCAGGCTTGGCGAATGGAGTGGGTAAATGGTTTTGTTTTTTTAGCAGCCAATGGATTTTGACATTTTGTGAGCTCATCAGTAAGAAAAAAAAAAAAGCGCATTGACATTTTTAATTGGAGATAAAATTGAGTAAAGATGTCCTAATAAAAAAATTAATTTATTTTAAAATAAATGTGATCTATAAATAATTTTTAACTATTATATTATATTTATTGTAAAAAAATTTAATAACTCTAAATTCTTTTGATTTTTTTTTCATATTTAATTTATGGATATCTTGAAAATACTATTTTGTTCAAAGTCAAATTATCTAATGGCTGCATCTCAGGCTTCATCAACTATTAGATGTGAATCCTACTTATGAGGGTCTTAATGGACTAATCAAAGATCATCAACGATGAGATGCTAGACTTATCCTCTTCATTCTTAATAACATTTCATCGGGGAAGATGACTTAAAATTCCTCTTTACTAAGATAAAAGGCCAAAATAATGTGAACTACATCAATGAACTCTTCACTTCCAATGATTACTTTATTTTCGACGAAGATATTTCTAGAAATATAATCCCATATCGAACGTGTAATTTTAGTTCTTTTTGGAATGGTACTATTCCCCCTTCCCTTTTTACAAAGCTTACTACCCAAATTTCCTTGAAAGAAATTAAAAATTGGATCATCTTAGCTCCTAAGAATGGGCATAGGCAATTATTTTTTGATTTTTTTTTAAGTCATGGAACATTGTTGGGGAAGGTGTGTGTCTAGCATTAAAAGCACTTCTTCATGACCCATAAACTTCCCAACTCAATAAAAGCCACATCTATTATACTCATCTCCAATAATACTCATACGGACATTTATGATTACATACCTATTTTTCTCTATTAACTTCCTTTTCATCTAGTATTCATCTTTTTTTTTTTTAAATCAAACTTGACGTAAGAAAAGCGTTTGACTTAGTTGGCCATGAATTTGTCATAGCTTAGCTCTTGACTAAGGAGTTTTTAGCTAATTTTCTCTCTTAGATTAATAGATATATCTCTAACATCTAGAAGGTTATTTTTCTCTATGTTTATAAGGCTACATCATGGTTGTCTCTTTTCTCCTTTATCTATTCTTACTAGCTATGGATGAGTTTTTTAATCTTATGTGGGACTATATCCACATTGGGGATTTTGCGACCATTGCTTCCTTGGCCATCTATCATCTTTAACACCTTTTTATACTGATAATATTATTTTTTGGTCATGCCTCTCCTGCCAACCTTCTCAAGTCTCAACATTAAGAAAATTCTAAACGATTTTCATGTTGCCACTAACTAAGAAGCTAATATTAGGGAAAGCCTTATTTGCTTTTCTAACAATATTCCAAAACTCTCTGGCCTAATTAAGTGAAATCCTAGGCTTTTCTATCTCTAAAAGCTCGTTTTATTTTCTTGTATTTGCATGTTTTGACTTTCACGTTACATTTGATTGTTTTTCAACCCTCATTAATAAAATTTGCCATTAATTACAAGGTTATAAGATCAATTACCTATCTTTGGTTGGGAGATTTCAATTCTATAGATTCTCAATTTGAAATAACATTGCTCATAAGGGTTAATTTTTTTTTCATGTGATTTTATTTCAGTTGGAACGTCCCAATAGAAAATGCCTAACATGGCTTGTAATTATTAACAAATAGATGGTGATTTTGCTTACATATGTATTACACGTTTATTTTCTATATCTGATGCATAACTTCTATTAGAGGTGTAAATAAGTTGAGTCGAACTTGAGTCATTTTTTATTTGAGCTTCAACTCGATTAATTAATAGAGCTTGACCTTGAGTTCAAGTTGTATTCAACGAGTTCCAACTGGATCTCAAGCCAACTCATTTATTATAAAAAAAAGAAAATAACTATGATTTAAGTAATTAATATAATAAAATGATAAAAAGATTGAAAAATTATAAGAAAAATAATAATAAACCACTTAATACAAGAAAATGAGATATATTTTTCAAATATTTTAAATAACTTTGAACTTAAAATCTTAAATCCTAATATATTTTAAATATATTTTTTAATAAGATTGCTCTCAAGCTAATGGGTTGAATCAGGACTGACTAAAACTTGGCTCATAATCAAGCTTGACTCAAGAGTCATTTATGGAGCCAAATCTGAGCTCTTCACGAATCGGCTTAACTCATTTATTTCCCAAGCTTCTATCCTTCTCGTGTGTGAATACCAAATTATAAAAATTGTTATCACTCCAGCTGGGTTCTAATTTCCACTGTTTGCAAGCGCTGTACGCGGTCGGTAAATACGTGGGCAGGCGGCGATTAAGATGGCTGCTGCCCTCTCACGGGGAGGCTACGGCTAGATGGCTTAGGCGGCCTGCTTTGTGAGAGAAGAGGTGGCGCCGACTGTCGCGTCGCGGGGAGCTAGCCGGAGGAGGCGCGAGAGGTATTTCCGGCCATGCTAGCGTAGGCATTTACTCGAGGAGGAGCGTGGACGGGGCTTCAGGAAGCTTGAAAATTAAGGTGGTGTGAGCAGAGGGCCGAAAAAACATAACGTGCAAAGCGTGCGCTGGAGATTGCGTGCCGCGGCTTTGCCAGGTACAGTGGTGGGGATGGAATGGAAAGCCAATTGCTCGAACGGATAGAAGAAGCACATGGGCAGATGCCAAATGATACGTGAGAACAAAGAATTGAAGAACAGAAAAAACGAGGAGCTGATACCAAGCCTTAGTATCCACGGAAGAGTTCATTGCTTTATGGTTGAAGAATAATATTATTTTTTAAGATTATTAATTCAAATCACAATTGTTACTTGTAAGCACTAAAAATAAAAAATATAGAGATAATTAGAAATTAAAATAAGAAAAACGAAAATAAAACTACAATCCTTCTGACCTCCGTCTCCTATCAAATGCAGTCATCCAGACCTCCGTTGTCTGTCGACTACGATTTTTCCAACCACCATCGTCAATTACGGTCCTTTCTAACTTTGAACTTAAAATCTTAAATCCTAATATATTTTAAATATATTTTTTAATAAGATTGCTCTCAAGCTAATGGGTTGAATCAGGACTGACTAAAACTTGGCTCATAATCAAGCTTGACTCAAGAGTCATTTATGGAGCCAAATCTGAGCTCTTCACGAATCGGCTTAACTCATTTATTTCCCAAGCTTCTATCCTTCTCGTGTGTGAATACCAAATTATAAAAATTGTTATCACTCCAGCTGGGTTCTAATTCCACTGTTTGCAAGCGCGCGGTCGGTAAATACGTGGGCAGGCGGCGATTAAGATCGATGGCTGCTGCCCTCTCACGGGGAGGCTACGGCTAGATGGCTTAGGCGGCCTGCTTTGTGAGAGAAGAGGTGGCGCCGACTGTCGCGTCGCGGGGAGCTAGCCGGAGGAGGCGCGAGAGGTATTTCCGGCCATGCTAGCGTAGGCATTTACTCGAGGAGGAGCGTGGACGGGGCTTCACGAAGCTTGAAAATTAAGGTGGTGTGAGCAGAGGGCCGAAAAAACATAACGTGCAAAGCGTGCGCTGGAGATTGCGTGCCGCGGCTTTGCCAGGTACAGTGGTGGGGATGGAATGGAAAGCCAATTGCTCGAACGGATAGAAGAAGCACATGGGCAGATGCCAAATGATACGTGAGAACAAAGATGCCTTAGTATCCACGGAAGAGTTCATTGCTTTATGGTTGAAAAATAATATTGTTTTTTAAGATTATTAATTCAAATCACAATTGTTACTTGTAAGCACTAAAAATAAAAAATATAGAGATAATTAGAAATTAAAATAATAAAAACGAAAATAAAACTACAGTCCTTCTGACCTCCGTCTCCTGCCAAATGCAGTCATCCAAACCTCCGTTGCCTGTCGACTACGGTCTTTCCAACCACCATCACCAATAACGGTCCTTTCTGACCTCTGTCCCCTGATTACGATCTTTTCGACCTCCATCGCCCGATTACATTCTTTCCGACCACCGTCATCCGACTATAGCCCTTTCGACATACATTGCTCGCTGACTATGCATGGTTCTACTAACCAAACAAACATATACACACTGATTCTTCCAACACCCACCATATA